ATACTAATAAATATTTAACGTCAATTCCTCGTTCAACATTTATCGGAAACATAAAACATAAACTTGCAAAGTAAAATCAATTTATGTGCTCTTTCCAAATCCACCTTCTAGTTTCTTATGTAACCTCATTACGATGTGCTTGGCATCGTTCAAAGTATGTTCAATATAACGGTGTTACAGATAGACAAAAAAGACTCAACCCACGACATGCACGAGGAGAGTTTTGTCTGTTGTAACGATCGATGTGAGACGCTTTCAGAGCCTGAACAATTCCTGTAGTGATGGCCGCCGCATTCTCTGATTTTCGGCACTTCTACACTAAGGTACAGACGGGCCAATTTGTCTGTCTGCCTCTACTTTATACGTCTATGCTGGCATTGAAGTCTTCTGGATTTCGGTTCCCACGTAGGAAGTTCATCGCACTGGGAAAAGAGCTTATGCCTAATGAACCTGTTAATAAGAGATCAATCCTCTTTTCGTAGTTTTCAATTCTTCAGACCGGGTACTCTGAAGCATTCTGATCTGACAAAGGATAGAGAATTAACCGTGTCATGCCACTTGATGTTTCTACTGCGTGCCAGAATTGCTCAGTCGATGAAGCATATCAGAATTGAGAGAACCTGGTGTCGAGTCTTGGTCAGGGTTACTCGCTTTTCTTCCTCTTGAGGTTGTTAAACGAGTACCACTCTGTGGGAAGAATACATGAATCTGCATACCACAATGATCAAATAGCTGCTGTCGACTCTACTTTCAAAATAAATCACTCCTGACTGGAAATTGAGATTTAGATATTAGATTAAGCTAAATTCATGGAATGCCAAATGCACATCATGAAAGTATACAGAAGCCCGACATTGTAACATTTCCAAAGTTTCCTTTCCTTTTCCGTAATTGATAACGGAGGCTTAAAGTTTTTGTCTTTGACGTTAACTTCTAAGAAGCTGTTTTTTATATTCTTTGAAAAAATTGATGCAAATTGATATCTTCTAAGATATCTTACGATTTCTTGTATGACCTGATGGTAGAGAACCTTGCATTGATTGACTAAAATCGTTGCGAGGAACTCAGCTTCCTTGAAGATCAAGCGGTTAAAACAGCTCCAAAGAAGATCAAGTGCTATGCTCTCAATTATGTGCTGATATGGGCCTTTTTTGCGGTATGCGCAATTTTAAAATTTATGGCTTGATTAGATTCTCTAAAAAAATCTAACTTATTCTGAGGATAAAGAACAAATAACATGCTACCTCTTACCCTTGACATTGTTTCATTTCAGATTGGAAAGAACTCCTTGGCATTACTTTGTTAAAAACGCTGAGGTTGACCTCCAATCCTTTTCCATTACAGCAACAACAGAACTAGTAATATTCATAACAGAACGATGCAACGGAAATGAAGTATATGTGTGTTGCCCATTAAGGCTATTAACGAAGTTGCATTCATTGCTTGAAGAGGAATCTAAAAATTTTTGCTAATTTATTGTTAATCAAACTCTGCCGATTACGTAACTAATGAATTTTTTTGCAGATGATGAATCTCCACTTCGTTTACCACTTTTGGATTTATATGCTTTGCCTCAGGTTTGCCTTATGTCGGGAGTCATGCCCGTACGAAACTCAGCATGCTGGTTTTCGCGCCGGAAACAGATGTTGTACATGCATGCCTGCTAGCAAGTTTCGTTTACTCAGCGTTGAAGCAGCAAGCCAGCTTTGCCGAAAACATTTTAAAGGCGGTGTTCCTCGTCGTATTACATCATTTTCAGATGAGGACTTACCTCCGACCTTCAAAATGCCTGGGTACAGATTTCTCACTGGTTGGAAGATACCCTTCAAAAAATCTTTCCAGGTATTCCCAGACCCAGAAATAGGTATCGCTTTTACTGCCCACTATGAAAGGTACACTTACGTAGGAGATAAGATCGACGACGTAAAGGTGGATATCAATAGGAGATGGGAAATCAAGTCCAGTACAGACCTCAAATTATCCTTTCTTGGTCATATGTTGCTGGCTTTCAGTTCCGATGCCAAATTTCCTATGTGCACTTCAATTATCTCTGACAGAATGAACAAATATCAGCCAGGGACCGTGTTTACGTGCCACGAACAACGTAGGCTTTGGGACGCATTCTGTTGTGACAGTGAACTGTACCATGATTGCCAGGGCAATGCTAAGGGCAGCTGCCAGGCTATCCCCGGAGAAGAGCAATGCTACATAAAGTACAGCATGTCGGTCGTCAATCCGCCGGAACCAATGTTCGGTCAGTGTCTATACAACGACTTCAAAAGGGATGAACCATGCTCATGCGAACTCTGCACCAGTACATATTGGACCGACTGGAGCGACTACGACAGAAACTGTGGTGACGCTTTTCGACGCCGTTACCGAGCACCAGACAAAGAACCCTCATTGGATTGCTTAAAAGCTAATAAGACGTGCTGTGTTGAAGTCGAAATGGTGTACAAAGGCGACTGCCCTTGCACATGGAATGAATATACGTGCTATCACGGTGGAACCTGCTATGACATCGACGAAAAGCGATCAGCTTGTCGCTGTACCGCACTGTACACCGGTGTCACATGTGAAACACGTAAGTTAAGTATCGTTTTTGTACGCAGACTGTTGAAACCTGTGGCGAAACAGGGTTACATTCTAAATGACTGTCGATGCTCAGCAAATTGTAACTAAACGGAAGTGTTAACGTTTTCTGTGGCGATTGCAGTCAACAGCTGATTACGGTACAACTTTCAATAATATGCGAGAGCTAGGCATACAGTTATCACTGGTTCTCATTAAGCATCATGTGCGCAACAACAACAGTCATGTTTTGGTCTACGAGAAGAGACCTGAACTTAGACGTAATTTGCTTGGAATGAATCAAGTAACAATTTAGACGTCTAAAAATCACTTCCTTGTTTAAAAGAAGCTAGCAGATGCTTTGCTTGAGTGCTTAGAACCGCATAACTCATCGGTTGAGAGCTTCTACCAGTTCAGTCAGTCAATAAATCTCGATGACCACTCATACCTCCTGATAGCGGACGCAGATGCACCTGACAGTGCTTTCAACGCTCCCCATCCTGTGTCAGAATCTGAGGTTCAACAGAAGAACGCTGGAGTCTGGAGCAGACTCCTTCCACATATTTGCACCAGGTTAATCTTGGCCGTCCCCTGGGCCTTTCTCCAGACGACTTGGCAAGCAGTAGTTGATCAGCCTTCCTTTCTGGAGGCATTCGCAACACATACCCAAACCATCGCATCTGCGACTTCTCAATCTGGAGAAGCAAAGGCTGTATTCCAAAGCTCTTCCGGATGTCAGTACTCCGGGCCATGTCGAGATGCGCAAGGCCAGCGACTAGTCTCAGAAAGCTCGTTTCAGCCGCTTGTATCCGGGATCAAAATTTTTCAATAATGGGCCACGATTCATGACCGTAGGTAAGCACCGAGATCAAGATCGACTTGAGCATAGAGAGCTTTGTCTATAAACTCAGCTTTGCTTCAGTCATAACAGATCAGATTAGTTCAGCGGCTCCGGTGGCCATTGGCCATTCCAGTCCGCCGGTCGATCTCTTCCTCAAGTTTTCCATCATCAGAATCGTTCGTGAATCTCTCCACCTGTTCCACTGCTTCACCGTTAATCTGCACAGCGCAAGGAGTACTGTATGGGAAGGCATAAGGGTTTTTCATTACAGAGAGGTTCATACGCATGCCGGCTACGTAGCATTCGGCTGCGAACACTTCCAGAAAGCGCTCAGGAGGTGCCAACAAAACAGGGTCGTCTGCAAACAGCAACTTTCTTGCCGCGACAACCATTGTCAAGAATGAAAGGATTCGACTCAAAGCCGTTTACTTGGACGTAGCACCTAAATTCAACACACGTTGACCGGAGTGCTCGTAGGAACTGACCATTGATCCCACACGCTTGGACGAACGCCCATAGCGTCTTGCGTGGGATGCCGTAAAAGAATTTCTCCAGGTCCACAAAGCACATATAGAAAGGATGAGCGACCTCATCCCTCGATTTCCCAACAATCAGGCGCAGGGCAAAAATCTTGTCAGAGGTGCTGCGGTCTGACCTAAGACCACGCTGCTCTTATTGTCTTAGAGTCAGCAATTAGACGCACCTTCTTTCTAACAGATTTTCGCACACTTCCAGGCAGGCTCAATGAGGCAACTTCCTAAAGTCTTCCTTCTTGAACAGGGTTACTACAACCCCTGTTCTTCAGTCTGCCGGTGTCTTTCACGTAGTCATTAAAATACACGTGTAAGCTGGTCCATATCATTTTTGTCTTAGGCTGTAAGCATTTCATCGATTCCAGCAACCTTGCAACTAGTAAATTTTTTTTCATCTTCTGCGACTTCGCCCACTGAATGATTAATATCCGCTGCCTGATGTATGTTCATTCAGTAGTGCTTTCAAGAAAAGCCGTCCGAACTCTTACACCGATCCTCTTTCCATCCTGGAGGCAGTGAATGATCTTCTGCCAGAATACCTAGTTTGTTGTCTGGAAATTCCGCATCAACATCATATTGAATTTCTTCCACGAATCATCTTTCGCTCTGGCCACTGCTTCTGCTGCTGTTTTTGGCGCCTTTGCGTAATGCATTCGAGATGAAGGTTCTTTGTTCCTAAGTCATTTCTTGAATACGGATTTCTTACCAGTGACAATCGTTGAATTTATTTATCATCCAAAATAATTGTTTCCGACCTCCAGGCAGCAGGCCAACCCGTTTTAAATAGCAGCATTCGGTGACAGCCACTCTCAACTGAGTTTCCACATAGGTGATCATCACTAGGATCTGTCAGAACTACCGCGCGTTGTTGTTTGCAAGTTTTACCGTTGCATCCGCAGAAGAAAGTGTTTCACTCCCCTTTGGTTCTGAGGTAGCATCTGCTCGCTTTAGCTTACCTTTGCATCGTACTCCATTGTTGACAGCGGTGTGTCAGCAACAAGGCGATGATTGGTAGGCAACTCTACGACTCTTTTAACGCAAACATCGATTACGGAGGGTCGTAAGTCACAGGATACGATTATCAAATCGATTATCGACTTCTGTGTACAAGTCTCCCTGTACCAGGAATACTGATGCATGCTTCGATGCTCGAAGGTGTAATAATGGGCATTCCGTTGTTTGCACAAAATCGGAACAACTTCATGCCGTTATTATTGAGGTGCTAGTGCAATTCTTTCCAACCACGCCTTTCCAGTTTTCAGTGTCTGCTGTGACATGCGCATTGCTTTGCTTCCTCCAGAAAGTACTCATCTTCTCCCTAGAAATTGGTCGTGTAACAGAAACGAACCTTTCGCCTGTTGTAATTTTGACCAGATGATTGTCACTCTTGCTGACAGGCTTCCATTCAGTGATTCTATCAGCCAGGTTCGGTTGTACCGGAACACCAACGCCTGCCTGAACGCAGGCTGTTGAGTCAACACATGAGTAGAACAGCAGCCACCCACAGAAGTTCAGAATTCCAGAACTCCGGCGCTTCGTTGACGAAAGTCCAACTATATCCAGTCATTACCTTGCTACCTCATCAATTAACTCCAGCTCTTTCCATGTGATGTTCAACATTCCTCTGTAAGCTCCCACCAACGGTGCTGTAGAACCTTATCTGACGTGCTAGTGCCCTTGCGTTGTTTGTCTCCTTTGTTCAGAACGGGTGATGATGCCTTTGCTAACCGGTATCTTCATCGCCTTTTGATCGACCTTAAGCAGCTGTCACCCTGTTACTAAGCCTCTAGTTGTCAGAAGGTGAGGAGCAGGTTTTGACTGGCAATTTTTCACAGCGTGCCTCACTTCCCACACAACCCGCGCAATCTTTTATCATCCCTTCAACAGCATAGCTTACGTCGCACGATAACCGCATGTATACGTAATATCATGGAGGAGAGGGGACAAGTGGCTAAATTTTCCGAGAGATCCGATACGGTCTCCAACCCTCCTCATTTCTCTCCGGACTTGATGGCGGTGACGGCGCAGTTCAGTTCAGTTCTACATGTATAGCATGGGCTCAAATGTCGTTCGCGTCAAAACTTGGGACATGAACGTGTCCATAAATCCAACTACAGTATGTAAATATATGCATGCCATATAGTATGCAAAGAAGAAACATGCAGCATGTATCCATTGTACGCATCAAATGGTGAGAAAAGTATCGAATTGTGATAATTTCACATATTCTGTAGCACTAAGCGGGAGGTGGGGGTTGATTGATCGTATTTTTTGCCTTGTGATGCAACTGTTTGCCAATTAATTAATTAATTAATCTTAGCGCTGAAGTTCTGCGCTGGTGGTAAATGTTTGAATGGTGGTACGTGCCTCGAGCAGTTGAACGACTATAGATGCGCATGTCCAATTGGATATTCCGGACAAAATTGTGAAGAAGGTATGTCATTTCAAATTTTCATTTGGATTTTTGATAGATGGTTGATTTTTATTGCTTACTTGAGTTTCATATTAAATAGCATAATGAAACTTTTCTTATTGACATTGTTTCCCAAGAAAACATCTTGCAAGATGTGCATGGGTTATATTTGTATCAAACGATAAAACGAATGCCATTCAACACCTTTGTACCACATTCATTCAAGAATAAAGATCTACATTTCTTGCTTGGCTGATTTCCAATGCAGTCACAGTCGTTTGCAATTCAGTGGAAAGGTTGTGCAGATAGATGCACGATTAAAGTATTGTGCGTTTAATGATATATAACCATCTATAATAAAAACTGAAATGATAACGAAGCATGGGTAGGTGCGCTCAGTAATTATATTATCGGTTTGAGACAACTAGAAGTCGTTCTTTTCTTGAGATGACAGCAACCACTTTTTAAGTTTTTATTCTGCTTAAAAATTGACTGAAAAAAATGATTTTTAATATGGAAAGATAAAATAACAAATAATTCACAATTATTTGGAAAAGGACTAGTGTATATCTTAAAACACCAGTGAACTATAAAAAATAATATATAATAACCTCGCAGGGGTGAACTTCATTGCTAATGTTAAACAAGTCCGAGAGTGATCCCTCAGTTCAGAAAATGCATTTAATCCACTCAAACAGACCTTGTATTAGGTTTATCATCGACTGTAAAATCCCTTAGTGACGAATAACACTCCGTATTGTCTGGCAATGAACTGAATTAAAGGCTGCCCTGAAGATCAGAAACGTCACGTGCCAGGGAAGTTGAAACCTCCGACACTGTTCAATCATTCAACACAAAGATGCCGTCCGTGCATGAATACCCACTTCGGAAGCCTGATTAGTCAATTTACAGCGAGTTTACGATCGACGGACCGCTTAGTCGTCTTAGAATGATCGGCGCCGTCTCCAGCAACAGCAGAGGTTGATTCCTCGATAGATGGTACAGTCAAGGCGACTACCATTCCTGAAAACCAGGACAACACGATAAAACTTATCCAAATGTCACCAAACACCATTTGGGTCCAGCGAAGGTTTTTACGTTTGCATTTCAGGATTCAACCCCCCCCCCAGCACAGCCGTATCTCCGCTTGGATGTCTTCCATAGA